CAGCGCCAAGGACCTAGCTCGTAGCCCAGCCGGGTCTTCTGGCAACCAGGGACCGCCCTCAGGGGAGTCCCGGGTTGGAAGCCCCATCCCAGACACACCGTGGACGCTTCCCGCAGGCCTTAAGGTTAGCGGGACGCCGAGCGAGGAGCCAGCCTGGTGCCCGGACGAGAGCCTCCCCGCCTTCCCCTGGTCCTACCGCCCGAGCCTCACCTCTGGTCCGATGCAGGCGCAGGGGACTAGGTGCTGCCCCCGGGGAGGGTGGCGGTTCCCTCGCAGGGGGAGGGTCGCAAGACGAGGCGTCGGACTCGGCGCCATCGCGCTCTGGCTTGCAGTGCTCCTCGTACAGGCGCAGAGACGGCAGCGTTAGCTGCTTCCTGGGAATGAGCGGAGGGAGCGGGTCACAGGAGACCGCACCCCACGGCACCACGTCCTGTCCCTCCAGCCCCCCGCTGCATGGCGGTCCCTTACACTCCTCACCTTTTCTCCCGCCGTCCATTCCCGGTGTCTCGGAAGCCCTTGGCAAACGGGTTGTTGTCGATCTTCAGCTGCGTGATCTGCGGGGACCAAGAGGGAGTGGCGACGTCAGGATGTGGTTTTACAACCTGGCCTGGGGCACCCCGAGGTCAGCGGCTGCCAGCCCACCCATAAGAGAGACTTGGGAGTGACCATTCGATACCCGCCTGCCTGGGAGGAGACCCTCTGAGCTAGAAGGTGAGGTGAGGCTAATTGGCGGGTCTTGCGAGAAACGACAGGGTCCTTTCCTCCTCCAAAAACTATTCGAGGCATAATCCTTTAGTTTGCACGCGGAGTCGAAATCTGCCCAAGCATGCACACTGGCCCATGCGGTCACTAAAGTCAAACAAACCCGCACCTGAGCAGGCGCGCAAGACAGCAGAACACACACATACGGCCGCAGACAACTCAAAGACAAATCACACTCGCCCGCGCACACACAAGTACACACAGACAAAGCAAATGCCCACAGAACCCAGTGAATTCACACGCCTCTACACGTATCAAGACGTCCCACATGGAGCACACACACCAGCTCTCACTCACAGAAGAGTAGCACACACCAGTGCAAGCCTAATGGAGGTGGTGCTCTGCCCCTCTAGAGAGAAGATGTAGAAAGGCAGCGAGCAGAAAAAGTATTTTAACTTGAAGGAAGTTTCTAAGCACCTCTAGGGGTCTGGGGCTTGGAGGGGCTGCTTTGTGGAGCTGTCACCTGTCCCGCTCTACGGCTCCAGGGAGCGTGAAAACTGGGCCCTGGGTTCCTAGCGTTGGGTTCCTAGGGTCAGGGGAGCTCGGGCAGATTGCCTCGGGCGCCCTCTCATTTAAATTCCCATCCCTGAGCCAAGAAATAAACGAATAAAATGTTAAAATGTCAGCACTGGAGTCTCTGCTAATTGCTAAGTAAACATCCCCACCCCAAAGAGCGCCCAGCTGTTCCGGCGTCCCAGGAGCATGTGTGTGCGTGTCTCCGACTTGACAAGAGGGAGCCTGGGGGATTCCAGGGGGTGCTGTGCTTACAGATTCGAGACTTGGTACTCGGGACTTGGCTGTGAGGGCCCGGGGCTGGTGCGGGGGTGGGGTGGGGGCCCTGCGCATTGGTGAGGGTTGAGCCTGCACAGGTCGGGGTTGGGTGGGGGTTGTCGGTGCTGGGGCTGGGTCCACCGCCTGCCCCGCGCACCTTGTCGTTCTGGTAGGCTGTGACCGCAATGAAGTCGGTCTCAGGGAACACGTAGGTGCGGAAGGTGCTGTAGGGCAGCTTCAGGATGTCGTTGGCTCGCACGATGTGGAAGCGCGGTTGATACTTGTGCATGGAGTTCAGGATGGTCTGCGGGGAGGGCGCGAGTTAGCTGACACCCCCAGCCTTTGCCCCAGCATTTCTATTCTCTGGGGACCAGACCTCTTTCCATCGCTGTCTATCTCTTTCCTGGTTCTGCCTTTCCCATCCCACACCCTTCGCTATTTTCTCCTGTCTTCTCTGCTATTCTTCTAGCCTACATTTTTCTTCTATGCTTCATTATCTCTCAATTTTCTTTATTAAAGTTTCTCTCCATTTTTAAAAATTTACCCCACTAGAAAACAAAACAAAATAAAAACCCCTACAACTCTTCTCTTAACTTCTCTTCCTGGGCTCATTGTTAAGCAACTATTAGCCCTAGGAGAAAAAAATTGGGTCCTTCAGGGACTCACTGACTGCCCTGCCTCCGAATGGGCAGTCCCGGTTGCCCCACGAACATCCCCCTCCCAGTCACTGGGGCCCTGGCTCTGGCAGAAATGAAGAGAACCCCCAAATCCCTCCTGGTCAGACATCTGCCTGTGGGAAGAGGGAAAGGAGTCTCAGAGGGTGTGGAGGTGGCTGGTTTGTTTTAGATCTCCTAGTTTGGGGAGCCAGATGGGGACATGGGTCTTAGGGAAGGGTGAGGACAAACTGAGGTAGTGGACAGTTCTTCCAAGCTCAGCACTCAGAGCCCAGTGGCTGCACGACTGAGTCCTGGTCACACCTGCCACCCACTGGACTCAAGTAAGGGCTTTCCAAGGCCTGACCCAAATGAGATAGATTATAAGTAGCTTCGATCTTACTGGCCCCCAACCCCGCCATTCCCCAGGCTTGGAGAGATAGTCCCTCTGGGCCCAGGCCAAGCCAGCACAAGCCACAGTGCAGCGACACAGGCAGTGGCCCTGTAGGGTCTTGGCCGGTGCTCCCCTCAGCAGAATTCAGCTACCTCCCTCTTCCACCACTGCCCCAGGGCCAGGAGCACAATCTCAACTCCCATCCCAACTCCCGCCCCACACTCACGAAGCCATGCTTATCGGAGATGTTGTTGGTCAGCTTCAGCTTGTGGAAGGCCACAGGCTTGGCCATCCACTGCTCTCCTGTGGCCGGGCTGTCTGGGTGGATGTACATGCGTTTGGGCATCTCTGGGTCGGCCTTGCCCGCCACCATCCAGCGCGAGTTATGGAATTTATACCGGCAATCATCAGCGGCCACAATGTCCATCAGCAGGATGTATTTAGCCTTCTTGTCCAGGCCACTGACTCGCACCTTGAAGGGAGGAAACATCCGCCTGCAAGGAAGGGAAAGGGGGAGAGCCATGGGACCCCGCTCTGTATCAGAGGACTCCTCTCCCCTGACGCACACCACTGCCTGGAGCTTCCCTATCTGTGTTTCGGGTGTCTCTGCTCTGCCGTGTATTATTGCCTGAGGGACCCTACCTGTGGTTGTTACTCCTGGGAGATCCTATTTCCGCCCATTAGACCCTCTCTCATTTTAAGGTTTCCCACTGGCCCTATGCTCAGATCTGGTGATCCTCTTTCTCCCTCATCTGAGATGAAATCCGATGTCCAGGAAAGAAAACCAGGCCATCGAGAAATACCCCCACTTCTCTTGAATCTCCTCGGAATTAGTTCAGGGGGATATATCCACTTGTAACCGAATAGATTAATTCGGAAGACGTTTGGGGGATTGGGTTACAACGCCCAACAAGGACCCTGACTCTGAAATTCGGGGGAAGAGGGTGAGCTTGGGGCCTGGATTCTCGGTGGCTGAGTCGAAGGGTCGAGGCGCTGGAGACTGTAGTTTTCTTCTGGCCCTGAGGCCTGGGGCTGCTTATACGGCCGGTGCGCCTCGCCCTTTGGCTGGGTCGAGGCCTCCGGCCAGGTCAGACTGTGGCTGGGCCTGCTCTGGGCTCGCTGCGGGGAACGGGGCGGCTGGCGGGAACCGACGGGCCAGCCTGGGCCTAGCGAGGCGCGAGTCCTATTCTGAGCTCCAGGGCTGGAGGAGAGTCCGGGAGTTGCTGCTTCTTCCCGGAGCTCAGAGTCAAGCCGGGAGTCAGGAGAGGCCGCGGGGCTGAGAAGTTGCAGCCGAGACCTTCAAGACCCGCCAGGGCCGAGCGCCGGCGCCTCCTCGGCTTTGGGGCTCAGAACGGTTGGCACCATTCTTTGGGACTGTATTTTCGTTATACTTCATTCGGGAGATTTATATGTTTATCAGGTTTTTAAAATTCGCTCGGTACCCAATGAGAAAAGTCAACTTGGGTGTCTGTGGGAGCTAAGCGTGGCGCCGGGCCGGAGCCGCGAGCCGCGAGCGGCAGCCTCCGCGCTGGTCAGTGCTGGCGGGTCCCCAGGCCGCCCGCCCGTCCGCGCGCCCGCAGCAAGCCGGCTGCCCTACCTCCCGGACTTGGTGATGACCATCTCGGTGCCCAGCTTGTGAAATTGGTCCCACAGCTCCTTGGCCTCCAGCGTCACCTTGGGGTCGTCCTCCACCTCGTCCTCGGGCTCCAGGCTCTTAAGCGAGCGCAGATGCGCGGCGGGCGGGTGCGGGCCGAGTGCCGAGACATGCAGCCCCGCCTCGGCCGCCGCCGCCGCCGCTGCAGCCGCCGCCGCCGCCCCCGCCAGGCCCGGGTCGGGCAGCGGCTTGGCCAGGGCGCCGGGCGGCAGTGCGAGCGCCGGGAAGAAGGAAGGCTGCGCTGCCGCCAGGAAGGCGGACATGGGGAAGTCGGCCGGCCGTGGCGCGTGGAACGGGTGGTAAGCCATGGCGCTGGCCGCCAGCGCCGGCTCTCTCATCGGGACATCCGGCCCAGGCGCCCAGAGGCCGGGGCCGGGGGCGCGCGGCTCGGACCCCCGGCCCGGGCGGCGGCGCGCGCGAAGGAAGAGCGACCCGGCTGGCAAGCGCGGCGGCGGCTCCTCCCGGCTCCCCGTCCCGCGCGCTGCGAGGGGCGCGGGGCTCTGGGCGCGGGGGCGGCGGGGGCTCTGCGCGGGGTTGGGCTGGGCTGGGCTGGCCCGCTCCGGCGCCGGGGACCACGCGCGACTGGTTAGATCTTGTCGTGATCTCTGGAAAACTGTGACTATCTCACATGTCCTGCCCTGCTCGGATCCCCTGCGCTAACGAGCCAGGCCCCCCTTGATTGCTGATTTTACGCTTTTTGGACCAATTGTGGGTCTCCGGGGGCGGGGTTTTGACAGCTCCGGCCAAGCTCTGGCCGGGAGGGGGGGCCGGGGAGAAGGTGTCGGAAGCCTCAGCAGTAAGAAAACATGTCAACAGAATAAAATATTAACCAATGACGGGCCAGCAGGCCCCGAGACCCCTCCCCTTGCTCTGGCCCCCACCCCGCCGCCCGCGCCAGCAGCTGCCTGCTCCTGGACGGGAAAGCGCTGCTGGCCGACCCGCCCCGCCGAAAGGGCTTGAGACTGGGGTCGCCCGGGTCTCAAGGCCCTTGGGAAAGGACCCCCAGCCGCACGCCCGCCCCGAGTGCAAAGCATTGACATGGCCCCGAGAGGAAAGCGGGCGCCCTCCTCTCGCGCCCGGCAGCCTGGCCGCTCCGGCCCGCGCCCCAGCTTGGCTTCCGATTCTTTCCTGGCTTCCCGGCCGCGGCGCCTCCCGGGGCCCCTGCACTCGGGAGGGAGGCTGCGGGTGCTGGAAAGAGAAGCCGGTGGGCGGGCGAGTCGGGAGGCGCGGGCCGCCGAGGTCGTGGAGCGGAACCCAGGTGGAGGGAGCCGGTGAGTGCAGCCGTGGCAGAGCTCGTGAAGGGCCGGCGTGGGAGGGAGCGGGACGCGGCCTTGCACTCGGGAAATACGGGCACCCCTTAGCCAGAGCCTCCACTCACCAGAAGATTCAGGAGGAACCTGGAATTACGGGCGAGCCCTGGACCCAACCCAGTATCTGTCTGCGTCCTGAACCTAGCGCTGAGCTCTCCGACGGCCTGGAGAGCCGTTCATCGGGGGTAGGAAGGTGAGCGTACCTTCCCCCTGAGCACGGGCGGCATGGCGCGGGCCGATTCCGGCCCCCAGATTCCTGGCTCGCGACCCAACGAATTTTCGCCGCATCCGGTACCAGAGACGCAAGTGTGTCTCCCTAAACACGAGCATCCTCTCTACGCTCTCTGCCGCTTTCCTAGAGTTTATTTCCGGCTCTCGGAAGCGCACGTCTCCCCAATTCAGTAGTGCAGGGTGACGAGTTTGGGGGCCGGAGTGTCTGCGCGCACCTGCGGCCGAAAGCCCCTCCGACTCTCCGCAGTCTTCGTTGTCTGGCAGCAATCCGCCCGCGGTGTGTATGTGGGCCCAGTGTGGGGGTACCCTCTATGCGCAGTGGGAGCCTCAACTTAAGACTTGCGCTCAGAGAGTGAAGCGGACACACACCTGCCTTGAATCCAGCCCCGGCGCTGACCCCCGGACTGATTCCTGGCGGTCGCGTCCCGAAGGACAAGATAGATCACGCACTAGACAGGGGTGATACTCTTGCCCGCACAACCACTACAAGGGCGAAAGAGTGCAGCCAGCGCGGGCGGGGGCCTTGTGCCGCGTGGTGGGCGCGTAAAGTCCACCTCCAGCGGTGACCCGGACATATCCTGCCAATCCGCTGCGCACACCAGTTGCAGGGTACTTTGTCGCTGCACATCCGGACCTGGCGTGTAAAGCCCGGTCGCCCCAGGTAGTGCGGCTTCGGGACGAGCCGGAACGGTTTGGCTTCCGAGACCTTTTTCCTACGTTCCCGCGCGGGCCCGGCACTCTTCGCAACTCCCCTACTCAGTGCGCAAATGGGCGCCGCCCCCACAGGGTTTTTCTAGACGACCTCTCTCTTGGCTGGGTCGCTCCTCTCACAGTGCCTCCTCTCTGCGCAGAACGAACCTGCGACTCCGCTCTGCGCAGTCTACGCAGCCGGGGCAGGATGCGTTGCAGCTTTGCACCAGCAAAATCCTGTCGGCTCCATTTTAGGCGGGATGTGGCCCCTGGGGAAGCAAGTGTATGAACAGATTTGCGCATTCGGCGAGGTGACAAGATACTGGGCAGGGCAGCGTTCCTTAGCCGGGTGTGGGCCTGGGAATCCGTGAATATATTTGCAAAGTCGTGTGTGTACAGGAGCTTTTATACTTGTAAGAAGGTGTGTACACCTCAGTGTGTGCAATTTAGACATTTTCCTGGCTTATGTCCGTAGCTGGTCCAGGGGTCCAAGGCCCAGAGAGTTTGAGGCACGCTGGCCTTGGTTGCTTCCTTGGGCCCTGGCCCAGAAAATCCCAGGTGGCGATGCAGGGGCCGCCTTAGGGATTCAGGATCCCACCTGCCCAGCCACTGGGCCAAGGATCTCAGCCGGGCTGCCGCCCAGCAACCAACGCGAGGTCCCTCTCAAAAGTTCTGAATATACCCGCCAGCCAAACTCTCCAGAGACGAAGATCCTAGGCTCATCGAAAATCCACGCAAGGGAGGCCGAGGCGGCCCCGGAGCGGCGCGAAGGGTCGCCAAGCTCCCTCTCGACTCCTCCCCCACTTGGGTCTACTCACTTGCCTTCCCGGGAACTGGCGCCTCTGGGGGGTCCCGGGGTCTGAGAGTGCGTGTCTCTTTAAGAGGCCCCGGGGGGCGCCTTGCAAGCCGCCCGGGGCTGGAGGGGGAGGGCACGGGCGGGGGCGGCTGGCGCCAGGCGGCCGAGGCTCCACAACAAAGCTCCGGCCCCTGTCACTTCGCATCGGTCGGGCCCGGCAGACGGGCGGGGGACGCGAGCGCCCCTCCCTCTCCCAGGCGGTCCTGGGCTCCGGCGGCGGGCGCAGGCCTCGAGGTCTTCATCCCGGTGCGCGCGCTCAGTACGTTCCGCGTTTCCCCCAACAAGGAAATTGGGCACGGGCGACGCTGTCCCGAGCCTGACTCGGCTGCCCGTAACCATTGCGGGGTCAAGAGCCACTGCTGGGACCTTCCTTGGGTTGGTCCTCGCCGGTATCTTTGATCTGCGTGACTGGGCGTGGATCAGTGTGCACCCGCGTGGATGACTTACTTGGGGATGTATGGTCGTGTGGCCGGGTAATGGAGCGCTGGGGTGAGATTGGTACTAAGTGAGCGGTCATATATGAGTGTACACGCTAAATTCAAGTGTTGCGTGTGACCAGGAGTAGAGGTGTCCCTGAGTGCGTCAGTCCCCGTCTTGAAGTGTTGTGTGTGAATGTGGTGGTGGTGGTGGTGGTAGTGGGCGAACAGAGTTGCTTCCCGTTCCGCGCTTCCCCAACTGGACCAGCACCTCCCGGAGTCTTGGCGCCAGTCAGCCCCGCTTAGCGGCCGGACCCGGCTCCCCCGCGGTCCCGAGTCTGGCTCGGGTGGGGGCCGCGGCCTCGATGACCCTGGCCCACAGCGGGCCTGGCCTGTCCCGTCCACTTAGACAAATTGCCGCTGACAGGCGCGCAGTCTCTCTGGAGTCGCCGCCCGCCCGTCGCCTCCCTCCCGACCCAATTACCCGGCGTAGGGTCGAGCCAAGTGGCTAGGGTGGGGCGGGGGACGCGGGGAGAGCAGGAGGCGCGACCTTTTCCTGGCCGCGTTGTGGCCCCAGCCTTGCGCCAGGACGGGAGCCGGGCCACTTCTTCCGCTTAGATCCCGGGAAGTGCCTGGGCAAACACGGCCTGAGTGGCCCAGTCTCCAGTATTCCAGGCTGATGCAAAGGCGAGGCCCAGCCCGGCCGCTCTGGCCCAGGACAGATGTGGCCCTCGTGCTGCGGCGTCACTTTGCACCTTAGGACGAGGTCACATGGCCGGCAACCAAGGACGCATCCCCGTCGAATTTGCAAGACTTCCTGAGTTTTGGGGATTCTGGAACTCTGGGAACTCCAGACTAGTCGCTGCTGTGGGGTCGAGGTCGGCGGGGTCGCAGCTGTTCTCTTGGTAACCGGAGTTGGCAAAAGTGAACCTGTGTGTGCGTGTACGTGCACGGTTGTGAGATCATGGGTGTGGGTGTCTTGAGACTGCGGCAGCTTCAATGACGCATGCTGCTGTGTGGTATGACGGGGGCGGAGTGGGGGTAATCACTGGAAGGACCCCTAGGACCCGCACACCTGCGAGAGGGGGCGGGGCTGGCCGGCGCGCGCTCAACAGGCTCTGGATTCGCTCTCAGAGGGAGCAGGGCGGGGATTCCCTGGAAGACCTTCGGGGACAGCGCGGCACAATCCGAGCCCCTGTTGCGCCGCAGTGTCACCTTCCCTCTCTCCGCTGACGAGCTACCTAGCCTGTCGGGCCAGCCTCTGGGCCATGAATCAACCTTTTGCCTTTTTGACCTGCAGTTTCCTCTTTCCCTGCTTCAGCTTCTTCTCTCCTATCGGCAGGGCGTGGTTCCCTTCCCCCACTTTACAGATGAGTTTCAGAAGCGCAGAGGTGCGGTAATTTACCGAGGCCACACGGCCAGGGTGTTGTGGCAGGGCTGGGATGCGACCCTGGGGCCTTAAAAAGAGAGCAAGGCCAAATCCACTCCTTAGGAGGTGATGAAGTTATTGCTGTCCTGCTAGCTACCCTGCTCCTAACGCAGGGCCCTGCTGAGACTCCAGGGTCCCACCCTCAGGCTGGGCTCTTGCTTTGAATAAAGACATACAAGATGTCTCTCTCTGCTTCTAGTTTCCAGCTCTGGGTCTGCAGGAGGTGGCTACATTCACAGTCACACAGGGACAAGGAAAGCTTCAAAGTTAGGGGCGTGGGGTTGGAAGCTCTTAGGGGAAGGGGATGGGGGTGAGTGGGATCAGAGTCTTGGACTGTGTAGGGGCACAGGAGAGGTTCCTCTAAGTGAACCCACCAGGGCATGTGTGTTAGCAAGGAGCAGACCTGGGGGATCAGCAGATTATGCCTGACTTCATAAACCTGGGCAAAGCCCTGGCCTTCTCTGGGACTCAGGCTTCTCATCTACCAAATGGGGATGAACAATGTTCTCTTGGGCACCTCCTAGTTTAGATTCTCTGATACATGAAAATCAGAAAAATCAGTACTGAGAAATCATTTCCAACTCCAGGTGGGCAGCTAACTGCTCTGGCCTCTGCTTGTTTCCAGAGGAGCTGATACTAGTATTTGAGAGAATGCTTGTGAGCCTGGATTTGCCTTGAGACCACTGGGCCTTTTCCCAAATCAATCCCAGACAGTGCCCTCCTTCCTTGAGCTGCCACCCCAGCTTCCATCAGCTTCCATCAGCCTCCTCAAAGACCAGGAAGAAACAGGGAGATCACATGGCTTCAAGGTCATCTAGTTAGGCCACACTGAGATGCAAGTTCTGATGGCCTCCTAGGTGATGTCATTATGGAGGTCTGATGGGGCTGCTGGGGGTGAGATGGAGATCGCCCTGGGTATTATCTCAGAGGAGAGGAGGCTGGCTGTTCCAGGGCCAGTGGGCAGTAAGGTCCCCTACCCAGGGGCCCAGCTCGCACTTCCAGCTGATTACAGGCTGTGGCAGGGTAGTAACCTTCCCAATTAGCTGGGGGCCAGGCCCAAGGCCTCTCTGATAACCCGACCTGCAGAGGCAGCCGCCATGGGGCCAGCTTATCTGGCCTTTCTTATCCTCCCCCTTCCCCCACATACTCAAAGAATTGCCCTGGCTGTGAGCAGATGAATAACCAGATTGTCCTGTAAGCCCCGCCAGCAAGTCCAGCCCTACACCCACCACTTTCCCTGACTGGAGGAGGCCACAGCTGTCTTGTACCCCCTGGAGGGAGGTGGGCCGAGCCAGGAAGGACTCAAGGCTGCAGGCTGGTTCCCTGCATGGCTGGAGAG